TAAAAAATGAAAATTTTTATTTAGGTGTCAGTTGTTAAAGAGATAGAGACTTTTCAAATCTTCGAGATTACGGCTATTTTAAAGAGTTACAGCAATTGAAGCTTCACTGCTAATATGAGACAATCATAAAGTAATCAGATTTCCTAACACAAAATTTGAGATATTTCATAAATGTGTGGAAGGAAGAAGATCATTGAAAATTATATACTGTATTTATATACACATATATATTGTGTGTCCAAAATTATACACTAAATAAACGATAGATATAGGAAGTAATTGTTCAAATGAAAGAGAGAAAGAGAGAGAGAGAGAGAGAGAGAGAGGGGGGGGAGGGGAGAGGAAGGATGGGGTGGAGAGAGATAGTTATGAGGTATATAAGGAACAAATTGATTACGATATTATTGCCACTCCTGTACTTTATATTTTAGCGTATACTTATCCGACATAATTTTTTAAAATGGTGACATTTTACATGACATTTTGACAGGGTACCAGGAGGTGGTACCTTGTTGCAAACTGAGTTCAAGCATATCATATGATTTTGAAAGAAATCATTTCCGAGACATGAAGCTTCTAATTTTTTATAGAACCGGCAATCGCATTAGCTGATGTACATTGCGGGGAAGTTGTTTGGGCGGATTTGTACATCATAATGGTTCTAAAAAGAGCTAATTTTATGTGCGTGTGTGCGAGTTATAGCAGAGATAATAGACCTCACGGTTATAACATTTTCCATAGACGAATGTAGAATTGTTGCGAACAGAATGTGTATTCGTAAGAGAAATCGATTCATAAACACAAAAAATTGTACGTGCGTATGTGTACTATAACAAAGATAAGGATCCCCACTAGCGTTTCCTATAGACGAATATATAAAATTATCGCGAGTATCCACAAGAGAAATCGAGATAGAGAGAGAAAGAGAGAGAGAGAGAGAGAGAGAGAGAGAGAGAGAGAGAGAAAGAGAGAGAGAGAGAGAGAGATTCATGAACATAAAAAAACAAAGTTATTTTAATAAAAAAATAGTAATTCCGTAAACTCTTTTTGTGAATTAAAAATATTTTTAAGTGAAGATATAACCTTTTTACATCAGTCGATTTCTCTCGTCATTTTGCGTATAAAAGTATAAGAGTAAAAGATAATTGAAAATTTAAAATTTTATGAGATATTTTATAGTAATGCTAAAGAAGTCAGACACAATAAAATATGAAATTTTTGATGATCTTACTTTTATACTTAGAATGATGAGAGAAATCAAATGATATAAAAATATTATTTTCATTCATAAAAATAGTTTTTAATTCATAAAAAGTTTACGGTATATACAATTGCTTCTTTTATTAAAATAATGATGTTTTTGTGTTTATAAATCGATTTATCTCGTAAATACTCGCGACAATTCTATATTTGTCTATGGAAAACGCTAATATGGGGTCCTTAATTTTGCTGTAACACACGCGCACGTATAAAATCGGCCTTCTTCAGAACCATTATAATGTACAAATCCGACTGAGAAATCTATACGGAGAATACTATTCAGAGGATAATGCAAATGCCGGAATGATAATTTTGAAGTTTCATATTTCGGAAATGACTTATTTCATATCATAACATATGGTATGGTTAAACTCGTCTTACAATAGAGCATCACTTTCTGGAATTCAAAATATCATGTGCCATTTAAATACATTGAGTCGGATAAATGTACGCTGAAAAATGAAGTTGGAGGGGTAGCGATGATATCATAACCAGCTTGCTTCCTATATACACAACTTTCATTGAATAATTATTTGCTCTCTAACACCTACTGTTTACAAATAATTAAAATGTATAATTTTATTTCGAAAACCTTGTGTATATATATCTATGAAATTTCAAACGTAACGTAGATCGAATATCTCAGAAATTAAATGATATATTAAAGCCAAATTTTTTTTAGGTTGTATTATTCCGACGAGGACACATTTTCATAAAAAGAAATTGAATTTTGGGTGGAGGCGCGAAGATAAAATGAAAATCAAATTTTTAAAAATAGAACTCAAATTTTTTGAACACCTACGTTTGTAGTCTTCGTCACGACAAATTCAATGACCACATATTTAAGGTGATTAGAGGTCAAATAATAGAAAAAAGACTAATAGAAAACTTTATTAATATATCGTAATAGAATCAATCCACACAGAATATTTTATCCTGAGGATATCCCAAACTGTCTCAAATTGATAAAGATGATCCCACAGATATCATAGTAGCATTCGATGTATCATAAGCGAAAAATATCATAGGATATCGTAAAATTTGTAGGGAGGGAGGATATCATACTTATCTCGGCGATATTTCATGAAGTTGGATATCTTCTGGATGATATCCGAGATATCTATAGGATATCTATAGGATCACATAGACAGACGTTTGTGTATCTCTTCGATAGCTGACACTGTCCAGGGATATCTAATGATTATTATGATCTCTTAAAATGTATGATATTATACCGTATTTTATGATAATCTTTTGGAATATCCCAAATGTTTCCATCTTATCCAATTTATTCCTTCCGACCTATTGGGATATCTGGGAGATCGCCTTTGTCAGTGGCGTAGCCGGAGGGGGGGAGGGGGGGGCTGAGGGGACTTCAGCCTCCTCAAAATTAATTTTCTGGGTTACGCTAAATGTGAGAAAAATTTTTTCGAATGACCTTTTTTTTGCTCGTCAAAAATAAAAAGTACAACCCTCCTTCGAAACTTTTTTTCTGGCTACGCTACTGGCCTTTGTCAATCTGGGATAATTTAAGATATTCTCAAAATAAAGTGTGCTATGTGGGTTGATTCTATTAAGATGTATTAATAAAGTTTTCTGAGTTTTTTTGATTATTTGATCTCTAATCAAATCTTGGATATAGTATAGTCATTGAATTCGTCGTGACAAGGGCTACAAACGTAGGTATTAAAAAAATTAGAGTTCCATTTAAAACAAAAGTTGACTTTCATTTTGTCTTAGTGCCTGTAATCAAAAGTTAATTTCTTTTTATAAAAGTATGTGCTCCTCGGAACAATACAATCTAAAAAACTTGACTTCATTTAGTTTTCGAGATATTTGGTCTGTTACGTTTGGAATTTAACATCTTTTATATATACGCACGCATATATATATATATATATATATATATATATATATATATCAAATAATACTTTATTTATAGACAAATGAAAAATAAATTATCAATCAAGGCTTGCTAGATAGACAGTAAAAATATAAATTATTGTTAAGATAAAACAATATTGTTATTCTTACTTAAAATTAAGGAGACAAAGTAAAGTTACTGTATCTGGCAGAGCTATGAATTGTTTTGAAAAGATCTTTCTTTGTCAGAAAGAGGAGAGAGGAGAGAGAGGAACGTTTTAAAAATTCTCTAAATCAGGACAAATCAGAACAATTTAACCGATTTCAGGACAAATCGATGTTTTGGATATCATTTGGAAAAATTTAAGATAAAGTGTAAAAAACGAAATTGTTCTGGAAAAAAACGGGATATCTGATTACCTTAACAATTAGAAATTGTATGCTAAAATGAGACTGCCCTTCAGCTGAGAACCTGATACTGCAACATAATTACCCAAGTAGGAATCGTATTTGTTTCGCCAGTACGGAAAAATGGCCCGATACTGGGTCGATACCGAAAAGCGGATGTCCGGTTTTGGTACTGGCTCAATGCTGAGTCTAATATAAAAAACTGTATTATTGGTACTGGCTTCGTACTAAGGTTAGGTACTGGATAGTCGTACGTATACTGGGACGTTACCGAAAAGTGTTTTTCGTTTTTGGTACTGGCCCAGTATTAAAAAAGCTGTATTATTGGTACTGGCCCTGTACATAGAATCAGTACTGGATACTCAAGTAAAAATTGTATACAATCTACCAATAGAGGATATTGAGCCAGTATTATGCCGGTACCGAAAACAAAACCTAGATAGCTCAGTGGTAAAAACGCTTGCCTGACAAGCGGAAAACTCAAGTTCGATTCCAGCCGTCGCCTCGAAGATTTTTTCCTCATATGTCTATTAAAAATAAACATGTATAGGTGCAAACGAGAGCAAGCCCGGCCATGGTTTGATCTTTCTTTCTATACTATATAGTTGTGATATTAACAATTGTACAAATAATAAAAATTACTAGGAATCGATACTGGCCCCAGTACTGGGAATAGGTACTTCCCTAGTATTAGGAATCAATACTTTTTTTTATACTGATACAGTACTGATTTTCGGTACTGTGGTAGTACTGTTTTCCGATACTGGCCCTTTTCTCTATCATCCCAGTATCATACCAATACTAAAGCCGTACTGACATTTGGTACTATGCTAGTAACGTTTACCATAAATCGGTACTAGGCCACTTTGATGCCAGTAGTAAATTCCTACTTGGGTAGTTTCTACATAAATTCGTTCTTGATCATTATCGTCGCGTTAATTTTCCACTTTACTACCGGTCTTTTCGTCGTATTGGACGGACGGTACCATGGGCGGTTTGAAGCCGTACTCCATCTTCGATTGCCTGAAACTACCGGGATACTGTGTTTCCGGTTGTCTGGTCCTTCTCAGACCACCAGTGATCGTCGCCGGCGACTGCGTGACGCTCGTGGAATACAAGGACGGTTTTGCAGCAGGAAGAAGCGGCTTGGTCTGCGAAACGAAGACTTTGCGCGGTGGTAGCGGGCCTGCGTACTCGTCTTTAGTCGGCTTGTCCTTCTCCACTAGATTATACATGATCTGTCGTCTGAAGGTCACTGGTAGCATTGGGTATGACGGTGTGGACACGTGCGGTCGCAACAGCACTGTATGATGAGCACCGAACTTCTTCGGCACTATCATCAGTCGGACATTACCTGACAGATGCGCCGTCGCAGGAATATGATGCTTGCCGTCATCGAGCGGCCTGTGATCGTTCGCGAACGGGGATCTAACATAGGGATCACCGTAGAACTGCGAAGCGTTTAATTGGGATTCAAACGCGACGGAGCCACTGTATCCAGGATCCACGTTTTCGTTGGCAAAAATTGGTTCGCGCGGTCTCTGTTGATATTTGTATCTCGTTTCAATCGAACCGTCCTGATCAGGATCCGTATGATATGGTCGAATAGGTCGCGATGATCCAGTCACCAGTTTTTCCGCGGTCTTTTCGATTGGCGCTGGCGCCACTTGCGTCGAATGTTCTACGAATGACGACGACGCCGTTACATGCGTCGGTCGCTCAATTGGTATCGCTATATGCGCTGGTCGGTCAATTGGTGGCCCTACTTGTGCCGGATAAGCCGCGGGTGACTTCAGATGCAGCGGATATGGCGATGCAGGTTGCACAACTAGCCGTTGCACCGTGTACGGCACCCTCTTCTCGATCACGCGCTCAAATTGAATTGGATAGAGGTGCGGCACGCGGATCTGCTTCTCTACCAACCGGTCGACTGGTACGTGCACAGGATACGGTTGCGGCACCAGCACCGGCACCTGCACCTTTTTTTCGATCACTTTCTCTACCTCGATCGGATGCGGCACATGGATGGTCTTCTCGACGATCTTTTCGATCGGATAAGGTCGTGGGATAGGCACCAAGAATCCCGCGTTCGGTGACCCGTTGGGGATGATCTTGAGGAGGAGCTGAGTAGGCAGCTCTTGTGGTCTCCTCACTTCTGGTTGCAATCGGAACGGATGCTGATCAATCGGCTGACTCATCGATGACGTCTGCTGTTCTCGATACGGTACAGACGTTGTTACGTATGGTTTTACAAATTCGCCCATTGCTTCATGCCTTGTGGGACTTTCGATGAGCGCAGTGTGCAGAGGCGTGTCGTTATTTTTATTGTTCAGCGTGTGATACGCGTTAGATTGCTCATATAATGCGTCGTCGAACTGATTTGCGACCAACAGCGCAGGCCTTGCTTCATTATACTGTTGCGGCTGCGATTCGAGATTGTCGACGGGTATATGCTCCTGTGTATTTGACGTGTATTCCGCAATCAAAGCTGAAGCCGTCGGTTTACCGACGTCGTCCTCGAGAACGTTGTACTCCTGACGGTTGAACTGCTGCGAGAACACGGAAGCTGCTTGCCCCTTAATGATGGACTTTTCGGTAGCGTCGTTACCTGGAAACGGAAGCCGACATTAACATATTGTCTGCCGCATTCCTTTGCACACTAGTGAAAACTGGCAATTTGTAGTAGCGCCGATGCGTGCCTCGATCATGACACGCCGCGTTATTACTCGTATACAGTGAACATTAAGCCGACAATATTGCGTGTATTAACTTCAGCTTGCATCATGCTGCTCCTCCGTTTTCGTAATTTCGCGAAAGTTAGCGTTAGATATTCGAAATATATTATAGCTGGATATTAGATTTGGTTTCCGGGTTTAAGTCGTGTGAATCCTTCTTTGTCTGATTCTGACGTTTCGCGAACATTTTAGTCCATTCCAATCTTGAAATGTTTGTAAAACGTTGGAATCAGACAAAGAAGAATTCGCGCGACTCAAACCCGGAAACCAAATTTAATATTCATGGACACCGCGAAAGCCTTAAATTAGAGCTGGATGTCAGATTAAAAACCGAGAAAATAAGCGAAGACCAGTTTCGATGAAAGTTTTTCGATTCCCAATTATTGAAAACTATATGTGTGTGTATACAAAAAAAATATGATAAAAAGAATTAACTTATCACTTAAAGTGAAATTACTTAAAGTGATTTTTATCAAATAATGAGTAACCTAATTGATGGTTTACAATTGCTATCAGTCAAATATTATTTGTTCTGTTTTACTAAAATAAATAAAAATGATCTTTCTCGATTATTGTTGAATAAGTTACACCGTTGAAAATTGATATTGTCAATTCTGTCAGTTATTCATCGATTAGTTTAATCGAAACTTAATAAAAATTATCGTCGGGATTACACATGCATATTTTGTTCCAGAAATTGCAATCGAGTCAAATTAAATACAGATCAAGTTAGATCAACAATCTGACGTAAAAACTTGAATTTTAAAATTTGATCGACCGTAAAAAGTCAACGAAACTTAAGAGTATAGTTGTATGAATACAGAATGAGGAAAAAGTATCAGAGACTAGTAAAATATCTCGAAAACGAAGCATCTGAAAAAAATGTTACAAATTTCGTAGAGTTTTAACAAATACTTCAAATGGCGATATCCATTTAATATATTGGCGTGGATATAAAGATAATCTCAAGGACAACTTTATATTCTTAAATAGAGAACCTCATTTTTTATTTCATATTCTTGTATCTGATATCCACGTCGATATTCTTATAACTGACATAATAATTAGAGCCGGATATAAAATCCGGATTTTTTAATATCCGGATATCCGAATATCCAATTTATTAAATTATCCGACAACTCAAATTCGGATAATCCAGATTCGGACAGTCGAATAATGTGAATATTCAAACTAATCGGATATTCGAATAATTCGGATTTCAATATAAATTAAAGTCGCATCTCCGAAAACTGTACAAAGTACGGGCACCTGGAAGTGGTGCCGTGTAAATAAACTTTATGGGCCGTATATCACATTATTTTGAGCGGGTAAGCCGAAGTCGCCCTCAATATCTAGAAATATTTTAGTGGCAATTATATATTTTAAAATATTTTGAAACTGAATATAACTTGTTAAGAACTTGTTTGCGGACCTATATTTATTTTTTTGTATATATCATCAGAGGTATAAGAAAAAAATTTTCAGTTTTTTGTAATAAATCATATTTATCACTTAGTTTATTTATAGGTTCGCAACCAAAAATATAATTACTTGTTACATTTAATTATGATACATGAATTTATAGATTTGAATAAGAAGATTTTCGAATATTAAGATTCGTATATTAACATCCAAGTTCAGATTCGGATATTAAGATCTGAATAAGTATTAAGATACAGATATATTAATATCCGAATATTAGAATATTAGAATATTAGAATATTAGATTTGGATATTAAAATCCGGATAAATATTAAGATATAGATATATTAATATCCGAATATTAGAATCCGGATGGATAATCCGATGTTTCGGATTTGAATTATCGGATAATACATTATTCGGATATTTTCAGCTCTAATATCAATGCCAATACGTAATGAGCTTTCATTATAGTATATATGTGTGATCGCAAAACATTTTTTTCATATTATTGAAGTTTGTTTTACAAAATTAGAGAATCTGTTTATACAAAATTAAAAAGAAAAATACGTAGTGAGCTATAGAGAAAGCCTTCTAAATAAACTGTGGTAGCAAACGTGTTAAGTACTTTCTGAAACATTAATTGATAAAGTTCAGATATTGTCGGCATTAGCAGTGCCCAATATGTATTACGTGTTACCTAGGCTGCGTTCCGAAATTCACTGCCAGTGCTGAAGTTCTATAGTATATGTAACATGAACTATAGATTTTCAGTACTGGCAGTGAATTTCGGAACGCAGCCCTAGTCGGATTTCCACATCTTACGTGTGAATGCGTGTGTGTACGTGTCTATGCGTCGGTTTGTAGTTACCTGTAGTTTTTAATGACTCTAAATACATATACATATCCAAGTAGCGTAAATCGGACTCGGCAACCTCCGCGTAGTATATCTTGGGTAATGCTAATGCCGGTGATATCTAAATTGTAACTAATATTTTATAAAGTATACCAAAAAAATTTTATTGTAATATTTTGAAAAGATTTTAATGTCAGAAAAGATTTTAATCTACAAGAAAATAGAGAGAATAAAAATGAGAGTTTCTAAATAAGATTTTAAAATTGACGTTGAATGCTCTTTTATATCTGCGCTCAAAGTCAAATATGTTCCGTTTGATGGTTTTATTGAAACTTTACAACTTTTGTATATAACATTTTTCTCTTAAATGTTGTTTTCAAGATATTTTATAAACCACTTTCTTTCTACCTATCTCGTTTTCAAGATATTTTTTCTTCACCTTGTGTTATAGATATTTTTTCAATTACGAAGAAATTAATATAACTGCATAATACAAGTAATTATATTTATGCGATTGCGAAGTTATAAATAAACTAAATGATAAATATGATCAATAATACATTGGGTCAGTTACACTGATAAAAAAATATAGTCAATTTAAAAAAAAATCATTTGTTTTGAATAAATGATTTTCTAAAATGGTACCAATGGTGTATTTATTTGGATTAAAAAGGAATATTATTCAGGATGAAATATTTTTTGCTGAAAACTAATTATTAGATTTGATATATATAAAAGAAATTGTAAAAAATATTCACTTATTTAATTATTTTATATATTATTTTTAAATATTGTATGACTAAAATTGAGTAACTATTTATCAAATTTATCAAATTTGAGTAAAAAATTGTTCACTTTAGAGAATTTTTCTTTATTCTTTTTCTTCAACGGTTCTTTAAATTCTTTAAAAATTCATGTAAGAATAATACTTACACAGAGAGAACGATTTGGTTGAATCAAATAAACATTTCTTTGGAATAGTCTAAACGAATTTTTTGATTGATTAAACAAAATTTTGTTTGAAGTAACAAAAATATTTATTTGCGGGTTAGTTCCAAAGAAATATTTTTGTTGTGTCAACCAAATAATTTGTTTGGACTATTCCAAAGAAACATTTATTTGATTCAATAAATCGTCCTCTCTGTAGGAACGACTAAGTTGCTTCACATTTAAAAATTCTCATTGACACTGGTGGGACTCGAACTTGGACTCGTGAAGTATCTCTGGATTATGAGTCTGTTGCTTTAGGCGCTACATCTCTTCTTCGATCAATATAAACGTTTTACATTTTGTCTATATGTGTTGTAATGTGTTGTAAATTATTAGTTTAAAAAAATTTGTTTAAAGCTATTTCCTGAATTTAAATATATTAGATTTTTCAGTCGTTAAGAATAAGTTATTCAATTTGAGTAGATGTCTTAATAACATTTATTCGTTATTTGTTTTAAAATTATTTCACGTTGGATAAAATATTTCTTCAATTTTATTATATATATTTTTAAAGTAAATTATTGCTTATTATAATTTAATAAATAACCTCTTATTGCAACTAAAATGCAACCTCTTATTGCAACATGTTTGAATAAATATATTTATTTAGATTGAATAAATTTTTTTATCAGTGTATACGTAGGATTAAACTTCCTCGTCGAATTAAGAGAGTGTTGAGAATTTGTTTTAAATAATAAATAAAATAATAAAAAGAGACCAAAATTGTTCTGAAAGAAATAATATAGTTAAATTGCTATATATGCGCAGAAAATGTTTGTTAATATAATATTCTAATAGGATAATTTATAAGATTTATATAATGTGTCTAAAATATATTTACATTGAAGTCAAAATAAAAATAAATATTTTTATTAAATATATACTATAATCTGATAGTATATAAATTTACCATACGTACAATAAAATATCAGAAAAATAAAAATATCCCATACAGGTATGTATATTTCCGATAAATATTTAATTTAGATATATTTAATTTAGATGACTCGTTATTTGTAATGCTAGTACGGAAAAAATTTTATTTCAGATAGCAACTATTGGGTAACATATAGTATTATTTTATTTGCATGTCTATTGCAAAAAATTGCAGAAAATTGCAGAAAAATAGAGTATTTGTTGTGCTTTTGTAAAGATATTCTGTTACTTTTAACGATATTATCATTGTTGTTATGTTTGCTTTGCACAAATATAATACGTGATGAAAAAACTTATTCTTCTAACCTCGGAGGCAGAGTTCATAGAGTTAATTCTGAATACAGCTATTCTGACTTTCTGAACGATTAGAATGCACTCATAAAGTACATTACACCATATTTCGAAACATTGAGTTAACTCTACTACTCGAAATAGAATTTTGAAATGTAGCCTAATACACATATGGTCATTCTCTCTATAATAGGCAATAAAGTATAAGCAATAAGTAAATTCACTAATCATAGTGGATTATTTGATGGTTCAACCGATGGTGATTGGTCAACTTTTTTATTGCTTACATCTTACTGCTTATTGTAGAAGATCTTTAATATATCTCAGGGGCAAGAGATGATTCTAAATCTTTAGTACTTTTAGAAATAATTACATGGCAAGCTTTTGATAAGTACTTGATAAGTTTTCAAAAGTAACTACATTTATTATTTTAATATTATGTGAGTTAATTTTCAATTGTGCCAAGAAATCTTTAAGACTTTATTCTCTTTATTCATTTGGGAGTATTTTAGACCATTTCACCAAATTTCATGAAAATCAGAAGGTAAACCCTTCAGAACTATATCTAGTACTTCTTTAGTCAATGAATGTTTATATCTTTGAGAAACATTTTCTGTGTTTACAATTTTGAAATTGAATTTATTTCATTCGATCTATATATGAGTTTTTCCAACTGATCTTTCTTTTATAGTATACCTTGATAAACGTCGTAATTCAGTCGCGATTCCTGATCGTACGGCTGCCTCAATTTCTGCGCGTTTCCGATGCTGTTTGTTTCGATGACACCAAGATTCGTGGTCTGTTGGATGTATTCTACAGGATAATGGATCTCGTGCACCGGTGCGGTATGATACAGCTCGATGGATTTTTGAATCTCGACGGAATTATCCGGTGCTCTCTGCGTGACGACCTCGATCGCCCTCTCTCCTTCGTCGCTTTGAATGTTCTCGTCCTTATATGTGACGTCCGAGTGGTTTCCTTTGTTCTCAACGAGCTCATCGCTCACCGAACGCTGCTGCAAGTCATCCCGGAAATAGTCTTTTGTTTCTGTCGCAGCGGAAAGCTCGCTGTCATCCATCAGACTGCCGGTCTCGACGGCATTTACTAGCGTGATACCGACCTGCAGAGGATTTAGCATGAGGGAAGAGGCCGTTATATCGTTAGACACTGCCGTTTTTGAACTTCTGATGTTGGTCTCCAAGACTGAATCAGCGTCCTCCAGCGGTCTGAATGCTTCTGACAAACTGTTTTTGCCTATATAATCAATCGTCGAGTCTTGAGCCTTTTGCACGGGCAAGTCAGGTACTATGATAGGACCTGAAAACTTGCTCAGCTGTAAAGAAGGACTGATCTCCACGGACGTTGACGTCGCGACGCTCTCTGAGTTTTTAGATACCACCATAATTTTCTTCGAGGTATCCTCGGTAGCATTGCGCGTTCGAGATAATCGTGCTTGCGACTTCGAGAGGTGTTCGGGTACAACGTCATTCTCGAGAATTGAAGCACCGTTCGTCCCACTCAATGAACTCCTGGGACGAGAATTTTCATCGAGATCCTTTACGGATAAGTCAAGTCTGATTGTTTTCCCAAGATTATCAAATGGCGAATTATCGGGTAAAATACTTTTCTTTTTTAAGGTGGGCACTGATGGCTTCCACGTAGTTGATACGTGGATTTTTTTTTGGTTATCCTCCTCTTTGAGGGGCGATACGGTACTGCTGATGGACTTTCGGAAACTCACGTATTCGTCACTTGGTGGATTGTCGCTGGTTTTGACAAGTGTTCGTCCGGCGATTGTCCGTCCACTCGGTGGAATTTGACGAACTCTTTGTCCGAAAGTGCCTGCGCTTTCTACGAGGAGCACATCCTCAGGTATCGCATATCTGGACTCGCTGCCGGGACTTTCTTGAAACGGGTATCCACCGGTCATCTCTGTGAGCGGCGTCGCGTAAGCCGATTCTCCCAAGGAGGCGGGATCGATCGTAGAAACGCCATTCGATCCGCTCGCGCTCTCCGCGCGAGTCACTGATCTACTTAATCCAACAGGACCGTCGTTTGTGGCATTGTCGGAACGATTCTTGGTCTGGATCTGTTCAGAGCTTTTCTCATTTGTACTGTGCGCCACGTAGGGCTGCACTATCTGCTCCACCGACGAATCGTGAAATTCTGTGTAACTGGTATCCTAAAAAAATCGTACGACATATCATTGCACTAAAAAAAAAATAAAACATTATTTATTCAGCATATCTATGCTAAGCAAAATGAAATGTTATAACTGGATAGATTTGCTCCTGTATCAAAGAAATAATATATGAAAGCAATCTACTCATAGAACAAATCTTTATAGATATTATTACTTTTTATTAAAAAAAGTAAGAATCTCCGATCTTCTTTAAAAGATTTGATAGAATTAGATAAGAAAAATTCACATAACTGAATCTTGTTTTTGATAAAAATGATATAATATAGCAAAAGCCATTTATATTCAGATAATTATATAAAGTTATTTAATATAATATTTAATAGTTAAAATAAATTACGATATAAAACGAAAGAAATTGATAACTTTTTTTATATAAACGCGTATGCTGAAATGAAAAAGGTAAAAAGTTTCCGATCTTGATTAAAAGATTTGATACACTTAGATAAGAAAAATCTACGTAACTGAATCTTGTTTTTTTATGAAAAATGATATAATTATATAGAAAAAGCCATATATATTCAGATAATTATATATAATCGTTTAGTATAATATTTAATAGTTAAAAGTAAATTACGATAAAATAGAAATAAAATTTACGATAGAAATGACAAGAGAATTCAAACAAAATTATATAGTATCTTAGTGAAATTTACATATATTTCTATCAATTTTTATTAAACTTTTGAAGCAGGAAAGTTTATGCCTGTCGCAAGAGAAAGCCATTAAAAGCAATTTTGGTATAATGGAAACCGATGTTTCTCTGAAATTTGTTTCATGATATTGCAAAACAGTTATCGGAGCATATATTACGTGCTCATGTTGGCCATCCTGCTATCCGCGCATGCGTAATATAGTATCGAAGATGCCTGTCCCACTGTCAGAATATACCGTTAAGGAGCAGCGGTTGTTAGCAACGGTTGTTAGCAGCGGTTATTTTTTGTGGTCGAAAAGTATGAAAACGAGTTAAAGAACGTCCGCAAAAAGAGTGATTTTTTCGCTCGTTTTTGGTCGCGATTTTGGAACTGAATTGTGTATCAAATGTATCTTATGATAAGACAACAATTTTTAAGTTGAGCTAAGAATTAGTTCCAGAGATATGGGGAGTTAAAATAATTAAAATTTATCAACAAAATTTGTGTGTCAGTCCGGTAATTTAAAATTTTGTACTGGGGTGGTAGTTGCTGACATTAATTAGATTTTTTAAATTTAAAACAGTAAAATAAATAAAAATATAAAATTAAATTAATTTGTTAAAGTTAAAAGTTAATTATATACAGCAATATAGATGTTTTTCTTATATTTGTTCGCATAATTAATGCGATATTTAATTGTAGATTAAATATATGTAAAATAATGCAGTCGTAATTTTTTAGAAAAAAAATACCTACTGCTTTGTACTCAGGATTCCATACAAAAGAACACAGGTTCAGAGAGAGGAAACAAAATTCTATTAGCATTATTATCTTGATTTTTTTAAATTTTATTTGTAAACAACCCAGAATGATGTTTTAATATTGATGAATTATTCTGATATTATAATTGCATAAAAATATAATAAGTTGAAATTAATGCTTTTTAAAATAACAAATTTAAGTTTTATAAAAGTTAATTTATTTTTGAAATTAATTAAATTAAAAATGATTAATTTTTCTAAGTTAACTTTTAACTGATTAACTAGTTATTACCTAGTTCTGCAGGAAACTAACATATAGATTAATATAATAAAACATAGATGAGAAAGCTAAATATTTTTTTATTAATAAATCAATTAGTAATCAATAGAAATTTTTACGTTTAGGTTATATATTGTATATTTATTATTTAATTATTATGTTAATTTATTATAATTATATATATATATATATTATATAATATATAGATTATATATTAATAATATGTATAATCAAGGACTGGAATAATTGCATTGATTTTATACAAATTTTTGAGTAAAGTTAATTTTATAAACATCTATTTTTTTCCAAGTCCACATGTATACTTTTTCTATTGCATGCAAGTTTATGTTTCTTTTTAAGTATTTAGGATATTTTTTTTATTTTTATGACTTTTGTTAGAATTTATCTCATTAGAATTCATCAGTGATCTTTGTGTGATGTTATTGAAAAATCAATAGACGTGTCGTTCCCCGATGAATCCCATGGTAATGTTATAACGCAAATCAGTCACGAGAGAATTTATTTTATTGTTCGTGACGCTCTATATCCATATTAAAATGCACTTTATTTTATTTTTCTATACTTATAATTATTACAGACACTCTCGACGCCGCTCTTTGAAGAGGATATCTTGAACGCTCGTTGAGCAAGGATTTTTTTCTTTCTGTCCCGCCTAACTTACTTAATCTTTTTCAACTCTTCCTGCGATATCTCCGCGTTTATATCTGTCGAGCTGACAAGAAAACGAAATATTCGACCGCTTCCAAGCCGATTACGGATTTCCAAACGGAGCAAATCGCGGTGACCCAGAAGATTTTGCGGAGAAGAAGAACGTCGACAGACGGACAAACGCGTTGTTCTGATTACGCCAGGAGATAACAGTATCGTCGTATTTTTGCGAGTGAAAAACCATATAGCGAAATCCGCTAACATGTTTACTTTGTAAGTAAATTTGTTCCAACATGAGTTTAGCCCAGGACCTGAGGTTCTGAGAGGTCCAAAAAGTTTAGCTACGTCGCCGCTTTGATTCCTGGTAAAAATCTGGCGAATATGCTAGATAACTGTTTAACATTATCAGGAAGGATCAACCAGTTCTCGAAGAAAAGTATTTGCTATATGGAACGAACACACCCATTAAAAAGTATTCGCGGCATCCCGTCGTCTCCCGTCGTAATTCCGCACGACGATTGCGGCGGCGGTGGTTTCTGCTTCACTGTGAGGAGTTCGGTACAGCGACAGCAGCTCAAAATAACATATCTGGTCGTACTCGAGGTGAGAGAAAGGTGCAGTTACGGTACCGGCACCGATCTCCCTTTCTCCCGCGCTGTTCGAGCAGGAGAAGAAAGGAGAAACGGGAAAGATGCGTCGCATTCTTGCACCGCATTCACGCAAAAGAAAAACCAGTGAGAGTCGCGTAAATCCCGATGGTCCAGCGAGGACGAAGCGGTTTGTTCGAAGAGGCATGCGGGGTACGTCCTCGACACCAACCAACCCTTTACTTTCCCTTTGCATCTTCGAGTTCTTGTCCCCTTTCTTTTTTTTTTAATGAAACTAGATCGCATCTTTAATCTTATTCGCCAAATGTAGAGTGAAATTTGATAAGAGATAAGATTTCGTTATTCGTTTACTGTTAAGTTCAAAAGTTAGTGAAATTTTTTAATTTCTGCAAGAGTATACTGATACATATGCATTAAACATTATTAAAAATATATGATAAGTAACATTGTGAAGAAATATTCATCGTAACATTTTTCTCTATTTTTTTTATTAGAAAATGCCATAATAAATATTTGTTTGTTATATTTTTGTCAACAATGTTTAAATGAAAGAAAATAAACTAATTTTAAAGTGACATAAATACATCTATATCGATTGTGTAACGAGTTCTTTCTTTTCTTTTTTATTAGAAAGTGTTATGATGAATATTTATCCACAATATTATAATATTATCCACACAAAAGAAAATAAAAAATAAAAAAGAAAAAGAAAAATTCGCCATAAAATCGATATATTTATCCCAGACAGCACAAGATTTCTAGGAGATATCCTAGGGATGTTCTCAAGACATAGGGACATTCTCAAAACATTTTTAGAGAGGATGTCCTGTGGAGATCTGTGCTGTTTAGATATGTTACTTAAAATTACATTATTTGCTTTTATTTTTAAGTATTGCTGGCAAAAATATAACAAATAATGTTATGAATAAATATTCATCGTAACACTTTAGAATAAAAAAAGAAAGAGGAACTTGTAATATAAAATTGATAGATATATTTATGTCATTTTAAAATTAGGTTATTTCTTTCTGACTTTAAAGAATTGACATATCCGTAGAGGTAAAATATTTTCGAATAAATAATTTCTCACACGAACAGTCACTGTGTGTGTGTGTAGGTTTTTGTTTTCTACCATGAGAATAATTACTATGTTTTTCCAAATTTCTCTGTTTCCCTATTTTGGCCGATATTTAAATTTTTTTCGTATTTTTATCGATATGATCTGCTTTGACTGATATTTTCTATCAACTACAAAAACCGGCAAGTGTTCGCACATTACGGATTTTTGTCATAGTGCAACGTATAAATATTTCGAATAAGTCAAAACGTAACCGCGATAACTGTCTGGAAATATTCACAAAAAAATTTACTATTACAACTAAAAAATTATCTGACTAGCTTAACAAATATATAGCCGCAATATACGGACAGGTAATTTGCTATGCTAGAGTAATCAAGTTACAGAGCTGCAATAAAGATTTGTGGTTGTAGCTCATAAAGATTGATATTATAGAGTGGATTTGTTAGCACATCAAAGATAATTCCATAATAAATTTTACATTATCATTTTTATACATTACCATATACCACAATAAATTTTACAATTTATTCACAATAAATTTTAAATTAATATAAAATATAGTTTGGTATATACAACTAATCATTTTGCTGTTATATTAAAGGAAACTTAGTACATTAATGGGTTTAAATATTAGGAATATAAATCTTAATATAAAGAAACTTGGGACGCATAATGGGACCACGGGACATAATGGGATATGGTTAATAACTTTTTATAGAGATGTTACCAAGTAATGAAATGTTTTGCAATTATTAATGTTAGATATCTCTTATCGCCTATTATTATTATTTTTAGCCGAAAGATGCTACAAATTGTTTAATGCGTTTGATGCATTCTTTACAATTGTTGTAATTTGTTTGATACATTTGCACAAACATAAACAGTAATAAAATTCTTCTTTTATTACCATATGTATATTAACGTAGACGATCTTTTCTCATTATTTTAATTAAATGTCTGTGCAAATATCGACTATCTATGTATTTTGTATTACATAATCCAAACTTATATATTTTGAAGTATAATACAATTGTGCTATTATGTTCTTAAAATATTAAATTGCATTATTTGTTATCATGTACTATATCTCAGAAAATTAATACTAAAGATTACTATATTAAATAATGTTTGTTATTAATATTTGTTATTAATATTTGTAATTAATAATGTTTGTTATTAATATTTTAATGGAAAAGAGTATATATTATCGTTTTACAAGGAAAACGTTGTTAGTAATTATAAATAATTAAACGTGCAATAATATATTTTTATATATTGTATATTTTAACAAGTCATTTTTAAAAACTTCTTAAAACTAATGATTGAAAAATAAATATGTTTTGTGAAATATCTCATTTAGCTCCGCGTAGGAAATATAATAAAGTATAAATAATTCACGCTTTCAATAAAACAATAATTTCAAAAAATATTTTTAAACTATTCTTTCACAGTAAAACCTGTATTTTTCTTATAATGGATAGTTTAAAGAATATTTTAATTCAAACTAAATTGATTTATTTATTTTTGATATGTCTGAAACTTATTTAAACCTTAGAGTTTCCATTATGCCCCGAATTCCTCTAGTTAAATCATCAGTTGCTTCAGCCATAGAAGCTAAAGCAAAAATGTTCATTGAAATATCTTGAATATTTATTTTTTTTTTAAATATAATAGAACTCCATTCAATTAGTATAGTAAAATATTATAAGAGTGTAAATACGTTTATCTAAAGATACATATAATTTATTTTAATATATTATATTTATATATTAATTTTTATATGTTTATATATTAATAAATTACAAATACACACACACACACACACACACACATATATATATATATATATATATATATATATATATATATATATATATATATATATATATATATATATATATATATATATATATATATATATATATATATATATATATATATATATATATATATATATATATATATATATATATATATATATATATATATATATATATATATATATATATATATATATATATATATATATATATATATATATATATATATATATATATATATATATATATATATATATATATATATATATATATATATATATATATATATATATATATATATATATATATATATATATATATATATATATATATATATATATATATATATATATATATATATATACATACACACACAGGGCAAACGACGTCACTATAGCTCACCTACTATATCGTGTGTGATCATTTATCAATCTCCTTTAATTAATATTTTAAGATATATTGCCAATATCGCAGTTCTAAATTTAATATCTTTACTGCAATAGTAAATCTCTTTAGTTATAACGTTTAATTTTATCTAGCAAGCTATAGATTTGCAGAATCAATTAAATCACTTTTCTTTCATCTATGCATCGTGCTTTCTAAATTTTCTGAGGTGAAAAGTGGCGATAGTGAAAATACTACCACTCGTAGTTGCAAGAATGAATGTTCCGTTCTAAATCAGAGTGCATTCTGACTCCATACGAGCGGATGTTCAATCGACCGGAATGAATATGTTCCTTTGACGGTGTAATACATCAGATTCACTTTTCAGTTTTCAGTAAAAATATTCATTCAACGATTCAGAGTGGATAATTCACTTTATAGAAGTGAAAGATAACTCGAGTGAATTCGAGTGACTTGGCTGTTATTCTGCTTTCCGAGTGAAATCTCATCCCATGAAATTTAGGGAGTGTACAAGAAGAAAACGGTGTTATTGTTAAAAACAATAAGGAAGCAACAGCGCCGACTCGTGCCGAATCCGACGCTCAATTACATATCTTTCCGGTCAATCAATTCGTTTCTCGCAAACTCTCGTGACATTGTATAACACGTGCACACGCATGTGTGTATGAGTGTATGCGGCAGTGCATCTCGTCAGACCAACGATAGCCCGCCGGGGGAACGAATTTACGTCCGTGTGTGGCCACTTTCACTGGCGAGTTTCCTTTTAACGTGAAGAAGAAAACATACACCCGATCCGTTGTGCCCGTAGGCGATCTACCGTTGTCGTCGTGTTTTACCTTGTCCGTGACAACGAACGCCCTTTCGTCTTGGTATTTGTGTAATAACTTGACATCCATTTCACCCGAGTTCGCTCGAACTCTACTAATGTACGCGATTAACCCGTTCGCTCACGCGACTCACATCTGTATACACGGAATCGCGCATTTTCACTGTTTAATTTGCAACGCTGTTGCGAATTGTCGTCATTTTGCGTGAGAATATAAACGAAATTGAATAACTTCCATTTTTCACCGTACGAGATCGTTCATCTTTAACTAGCTAACCAAAGGCCATTTACTGTAAAAACTGCTAACATTTCGAGAAGAAAATTACGCTTCTCCATTACGCTGAATTTTCTTTGATGAATTTCTAGTCGATTCCACTTTGGAAAAAACGACGGCAGCTTTATAATGTGCAGAGCACGTGTAAAGATCCCCGAATAAATTATTCAATCCTCTTACCAACGAATTCCTGGTGGGAAAAGCGAATGAAAGTTCAACGTGAGAACGTGTAAAAATGTGTATACAAATGAAACGCATAAGAAGGAATTCATGATTTTCGTGACTGCTAATTTAACAAATTTTATTATTATTAAATAATCATCTGTGAATTAAATAAATCTAAATTAAATTTCAGAATCGTAATTAAAGTTTAATGTGAGAATATTATATGCAAATAAAAATGTACGCGAAAGGACTTTTAAGTTTCTTGACTGCCGGCTTTTCTTCAATTTTGAGAATCAAGTTTCAAAATCATAATGAAAATTTAATGTACAAATGTGCCTAGACAACATAATCTACGATGACGTATAAATGTCTTTAAAGCGTCTTAAAGATTATCTTTAAGACATCTTATGTCCCGATTTTAGACATTATGTTGTCTGGGTGAATACTGTTGTATGCAAATGAAAATGTAGGTGGAAGCATTTTTGAGTTTCTTGTAATCGTCGTTTTCTTTCTAATTTAGGAATTAAATTTTAAAATTGTTATAACGTTCTGAATAATTATAATCGTGAAATTGTGTGATTTAAAAGCGAATAATATGAATTAGATTATCCATGTTTCCTCATGAAAAGGTCACATATTCTGATGTTTTGAGAGAGGCATTTTTGAAAAACGATAGAAATAGTGACAGATGAACGATTTTTTACTCCATGATGAAAATTTTACGATTACGAGCTGTTCGCGAGTGAAAATGTTCTCTTTCTTTCTCTGTTTTACAGGACTATACAGCATTCACCCGGTTTGCGCCAGCTCCCAGCTGTAATTCATCTCAGGCCCGTTGCGCCTATACGTAAAGTAGCACTTGAATGACGCGTCGCAAGTAGATCGAGGTTAAAGATTTCTATGCCTCAAGGTTAAGGATGTTTATCGATTCGTCTAAGCTCTAGGGCCTGCCAGTAATCGCCTGTCAGAACGAAAAGAAAGAAAAAAAAAAGAAACTTTTGGGCCGTGCGTTTCGATCATCTGCGGATTCACTTTCTCCATTCTATATTAAGATTCTTTTGAACGAACCTTTCGCTCGTGAAAATTTGCCACTGATGACCCGCATTTATACTTCCGTGTAATTAATACTTGTCTAATTAAGTTTTCGTAATAATACGGTACAATATAATATTCTCCGAATTTACCTTTCCGTTACTGAAATTCGCGACGTTAGATTCTGTGGACGTTGTTACGATTGTCGTCCATGTTATAAGAGCGATCTGTAAAGAAAAAGAATGATCAAAGAGAACTTTAGACAAATAAAATTGATATGGGTCATGCAAGATCTTTGCCGAATGCTCAATAAAATAATAATAACAATTGGTATATATTTTAATAATAATAAAACATAAAAAATATGAAAATAATTAATTGTGTAATACCTGAAAACGTTTTTATTGAACATTTCACTGTCGCATTTATTTATACAGACTGGCCCAAAAATCGGTAAAGATTTTTACAAACGAGATATGATTAAAATTCTTTTTCTAGATTATACTATTTTTCCCGAGGAAATTCAAAATAATAACTGACATTGGGTCACCCTTATTTCAGAAATTCGCGTCAATCAATGAGTTCGATTGTTCGATTAATATCATCAACGAGAAATAAATAGGAAGAAATTTAAAAATGAATATAACTCACAGCGTAAAGTTGCATATCTTCTGCCTTAACGCATTAATGAGCAAGAATGTTATTGGAATGATTGAGAAGTCTTCTTTCGTGTTATTCGATCGATGAATTTCCGTTCTTCTCAAAGTTCCGTGTGTCGATCCACAGGGATCTACGTCCTGAAGTACTGATGCAAATGTACCTGATGCACGCACTTCGCAATGAAACAGTGTACTGCTTCGTCCCGACACGATACACTTGACTTAAACCGAAGCTCCAGTTATCCCCACACCGGTAGTACGAGAATCTGGTTGCTAGCAGCCACCTACAAAATCCCGTCAGCATCCACGATGCACACCTGAACGTCGCGCGTGTCGCTTACTTGGCGACGGCCAGAGGAAGCGTGAGAGGGACTAGGACGCTAGGCGGAGAGGACAAGGGAGGAAGAGGCGAAAACATTTGTGGAGGGTTTACGATGTGGAGAGGGAGACGCTCAATGGTACTGTTGCGGTATCGATAGTGATGGCTGTGTGATGCGCTGCATTTTGCCATAGTGCAAAGTGTAAAATCATCGACAGTTAAAATATTTTACATAGTTGCGTGAATAAAAGGAAGAAAATAATAGAAACAGAGAGAAAATTGATCTAGCCAAGAGATGATATTGAAATATTGCTGTTTATTTCGGCATTAATAGTTTGCACAAATTCTTATCGCTTTATGGTCATCAGTAGCGAAACACGAGGCCGTGAAAGTGACATTGGCCGCTCGAAGAAGAGGTTTTAATGATTCTTCGATTTTCCTCTCTTTCATTCTTCAATGTTATGTGCGCCGTTATACTTACGGCGTTCGATTTCACCGGGGCAATTAAGTTGATCTTTGAATAGGTCCGGTAAAAATGAAAGGCCGCTTAAAACGCATATAAGACGAGAGATATAAAGGAGTTTATAATTCCAAAGCTACTTGACATGATTTAACATTATCGATAATGTATAACGGATTGCAAAAGGTTTAGACATAATGAAATTAGGAGTTCGACAAAATTGTCAAACTTGATAGTTATTATCGACTAGCTTATGCAGTAATAATATATTATTACGGACAAATAATTATTGTATTATTAATTATTATTATTAACTATAATAATATTAATAATACTAATTAACAATACTAATACTAATTAATATTAATTATATATATATTATTTATTATTATTATTTATATTAACTATTTATGTAAGTCCGTTGGTTATGATTTTTTATTCTGATGGTTTAGTCAAATATACAAAAATACATTAATATTTTTTCGCTTCACTTCGAAAGAATGTAATGTCTTTATGTTACTTTTTCATGTTTTTTTTTTCATTTTTGTATACTTTTCTTGCATTTTTGTCATCATTCTTCTTTCCTTCAACATAGAAGCGACCATAAATACAAAAATATATAAAATATACAGATCTTAATTTTATTGTATCTAAATCGTTTTGCAACTAAATATATAAGCGAAAAATATAAATGTACGCGGTACATCGTAGCTTTCGTTTTGTTAAAGAAAGAACTCTACTCTCATTTCTTCATTTTCCTCTCAAGTTTTCCCCTGTCCTATAAACGGAAAGTTGTATGCCACGAGATCGGAACATACTAATCCTAATAGTTTGGTTGACAAGTATTTTTTAAATGTTAACTATTAACCAGGATACTGTCCTTTCTGTTGATATTTATATAAAACAGTTGTAAGTAAATATCAATATATTAACAAAAGTGTTCACACCAGCGAGGTACTGATGTAACGTTAATTAAGTTTATGTTGGACTTCGTGCTGAAAACATTCTAATATATCTTTATTGCTCATTGCCGAATGATAGTAAAATGGTGAGAAATTAACGGCACATAAGGAGCAAGCATGGATGCTTAGTGCTATTAAATACTAATATTATTTTTTAATAATATTAATATGATTGTGGGAGGATAAAAATGTCCAGCATGTCAAACGAACGTATCGAAATTTTCTCTTCGACTAACGTACGCGGAGAATCAACCTTCCATACTTAGACCGATCCTTGAGTCCCGAATTTATATATATATTTAATTAAAATCCCAAAACCCCCATTAAACCGAAGACTCAAATAGATTCCTTTTATTATATATGTTGCGAAAATGTATGTTAGTCGAAGAGAAAATTTCGATACGTTCGTTTGACATGCTGGACATTTTTATCCTCCCACAATCATATTAATATTATTAAAAAATAATATTAGTATTTAATAGCGCTAAGACATCCGTGCTTGCTCCTTATGTGCCGTTAATTTCTTATTATTAGTTAAATCTATTCAGGAGTTTTCTATTATTTCGGTTTTTTTTTTTTGATAGTAAAATGGTACTTTCAGCACAAAAGCGTCCAAAACGAACTTAGCTATAGAATGACGAGCCAATTTTCAATAAAAAGTTAACGGAAGAAGTAAATTTTAATAATAAAATTCCAAAATTTCTTTTATTCCTAATTATTTTAGAATTAAATTTTAGATCAGGATAGATGTAATTATTTATTTCCCTGTAGTAAATGTAGAAACAAGTCTTCAAAATTTTATTCGATTGTATTTTTGACAAAAATAAAGAGTGCAAAAAGCAGTGAGAAAAAAGTGTTTAATATTAATATTTTTTCGCTTCGTTTTGAAAGAATTTGATGTCCTTGTGTTATTTTTTCATGTTTTTCTTCATTTTGTATATTTTTCTTGTATTTTTGTTATTTTTCTTCTTTCCTTCAACATATACTGAAAAAAAATTTACTTAATTTGGTTAAAATTTAGTTAATTTAGTTAATTTAAAAAAAATAATTTGTTTTGAATAAATAATTTTCTAAAATAGTACCAATGGCATATTTATTTGAATTAAAAAGAAATATTAATCAGGATGAAAAATTTTTTGCTGAAAAATAATGAATTATTGATTAGATTGAAAATATATTTAGTGAAATTTAAAAAATAATTATTTATTTAAGAATTTTATTTAATAGTCGTAAATATTGTCTTGCTCAAATAAAGAAATTATTTATATTACCAAATTTGAAGAAATATTTGTTTAGTGTAGAGAAACAAGAAGTTAAAACATAACACACACTAAAAATAAAAAAAATATTTACTGAATTTGAATTAATAGAATCCTGAAAACCTTATTCATTTATTTCAAGTGGATTAAAGTGTTACTACAATAAAGCATCCAATTGTCAAAATGAGAAAGCATGATTTCATTTCAAATTAAAATTTATTCCGCTAGATATAAAGATAGGATTGTTTTCAATAAATATTTTTAAAACTAAAGAATTATTTATTAGATTTGATATACATAAAAGGAATTGTAAACAATATTTATTTATTTAATTATTTTATATATTATTTTTAAATATTGCATGACTAAAATTGAGTAATTATTTATCAAATTTGAATAAAAAATTGTTCACTTTAGAAGAGTTTTTCTTTATTCTTCTTTCGTGAACGGTCTTTAAATTCTTTAAACATCACATTTAAAATTCTTACCATTTGAAAATTCTTATTGGCACTAGTGCGATTCAAACTTGGACCTGTGAGGACCTCTGGATTATGATTCTGTTGCTTTAGGCACTACACCACTTCTTCAATTAATATAAACGTCTTACATTTTGTCTATATGTGTTGTAATATGTTGTAAAGTAAATTAATATTTAATTTAAAAAAATATTTATTTAAAGTTATTTCCTCAATTTGAAAATATTAGATTTTTCAATTGTAAAGAATAAGTTATTCAATTTGAGTAACGATTGTCTCAATTTATTCGTTATTTGTTTCGAAATTATTTCACGTTAGATAAAATATTTCTTCAATTTTATTATATATATTTTTAAAGTGAATTATTGCTCATTACAATTTAATAAATAATACTCTTATGGTAACTAAAACATATTTGAATAAATATATTTATTTAGATTGAATAAATTTTTTTTCAGCGTATTCGGGACATTTCTGCTGTGTGGGGTTACTCAAAAATATAAAATTAAAATAATTTCAAATAAATCATTAAAAAAGAACAGTTATTGACAACATTTTAAATAATTTAATTTTATTATTCAATTTATATTTTTTACAAAAATAATGATATTATGAGATTTGTGTCAAATATGGCCATGATAAATTATTATCACAGATATAGACATAACACATTTTCAAATAAAACTTAAATATTAAAATAAAATAATAAAATAAAATATAATAAAATAATAAAAATAATATAATAAATAATATAATAAAATAGTTATAATAATAGTTATATAATAGTTATAATAGTTAGTAAAAATTAAAATAAAATAGTTGTTTGAACTTGTATTTCCAACAAAAGAAATTATATTAGAAAAAAGAATTCAAAAAGAATTTATCACTAATTCTAAGTTTTCAGCTGCAAAAAGAATAGTTCATAGTTCAGTTTAGTAAAAGAATTTTTTTTGCATGTAAAAATCAATTCAGAATACGACTGAATTCTTTTTTAATTCTCTGTGCTACCTTGGTTTTGTATTCTTTATGAAGATAAATGTTGTGAAGATAAAGCGTGTGAATTTATTTCTTCATTTCTCTGTAAAGATGTACGATGTATACATATTTTAGTTTATACGGTTTAAAAGTGGTGATTTTTCAGTTTGATCGACAAGTAATGCTCTAAAGGCCACTCCGGAAATGCAAAAACAATAATTTAGAGCAATTTTTTGCTAAGAATTTATCACAAACGCAAAAGCTTGCCGAACAATTGGAAGTAACGCAGCAAACCATTTTCAAATGCCTATACGAAGCGGAAAAGGTCTAAGAAGAAAGAAAATGGGTTCCATATAAACTTATTAAAGTCAACAAAAATTAACTAGTAGCATCTCTGGATAGTGGCAGCAAATATTTCTTTTCTCAATAAACAGTGTAGAAAGTCTTTCTTGTGGAAAATCATTACGGACGATGAAAAATGGATATTCTATGACAACTATGAACACAAATAGTCATAGGTAAGTTCTGATGTAGCATTAATATCGGCCGCAAAATCTAAACGTTTCAGAAAGAAGAATTTGCTTTTTATTTGGTGGAGTATTAAAGACATAATTCATTGTAAACTGTTGGAACCGGGGATAAAACAGTTATTGTAGATTGCTACCAATGTCAATTAATTTATTTGAGTCAGCAATTGGAACAAAAATGTTTGTATAAATTGTATATATTGATAAAGGAGAACGTCTTATGAAATTGCATGACAACACTAGGTCACACATTGCTTCTAATGGAGGATTCACACTGCGTCCGATGTCCGACTTACGACGTTCGTTATCCAATAAAAGAATAGCTTTCCAATAAAAGAATAGCTTT